AAACCTGGGAACAGGCCACGTGTGGTGGCACACTTCTATAATCCCAATGACTCAGAAGGCTGAGGCAGGAGGATCGCAAGATCAAATCCAGCCTGGGCAACTTAGTGAAACCATGCCCCCAAATAAGAAATAAAAAGGTCTGAGAATGTGGGTCAGTGGTAGAGCACCTCTGGGTTCAATTCACAGTACTGCTACCAATCCCAATCCAAAATTTAGGAACAAAGACATACACAGGTCAGGGACTCTGTTAGGCACCAGAGATTCAAGATGGCTATGTGGTACCAGGAAGAAACTAAGTGGATAAATTTATCAGAGCTTCTTAAAATGTAGCTTCCCCACCCCAACCTAGACTCTACCCCTGCTTTTTGTTTTTTTCCCAAATTAGACCTTTTTAACTTCTGCTTCTCTGACAATTTCCTCCTTCCAGAAGAAGCAGGTCCTCCCTGAGCTGTGACAGTCCCATTCAGGAGCTACTTGGCTGCAGCAGCTACTAATCACCAACTTCATTCCTTAGTACCCCCACAAGGCCTTCCAGTCTCCCAAAAATTCAATTAGATCTTCCAGTTACATAGTTCTTTCTTCTTTGTTTTTTTGGGGGGATACTGATTGAATGCAGGGGTTACAGGCACAAGGATGCAGCTCAGTTGCACACTTTCTTTACTGCTTGCCCTGTTCCTAATAATATTCATAGCTCTTCATGTGCCTGTCTCGCATGCTGAGTACTGCTCCCATCAGGGCACAGCGTGGAAAACAAGAACTCAAAGATACCTGACACATGATTGAACACACACACACACACACACACACACACACACACACACACACATATTTATATGGAGGGTAAGCCAGGCCCTTTCTTCCCTCTCTGCCTATCTCTCATAAAGTAAATTAACAAATAGGAACACACTGGACTGATAAAGTGAAATAATATATGCAAACACACTTTTAACATCATGAATGTGGGAATTACAAATATATATGAATATAGTAGTCCCTCCTTATCTGTGTTTTTTATTACCCTCACCATGAACCAAAACTATTAAATGGAAAATCCTAGAAATAAATAATCCAGATGAGCATTGGCACATGGCTATAATCCCAGTGATTTGGAAGGCTGGGGCAGGAGGATTGCAAGTTCTAGGCCAGCCTCAGCAACATAGCAAGACCGTTTCAAAATAATAATAAAAATGGCTGGGGATATAGCTCAGAACCCTTGGGCTTCAACCCCCAGTACCAAAAACATAAAATAAAAAATAGATCATAGAAAGTAGAAAGGTGGTTCTCAAGGGCTGGGGGAAGGGAGAGGGAATTATATTTAATGGGTATAGAGTTTCAGCTATACAAGATGAAAAAAGTACAATAGTGTAAATATATATATAAGAATAAATATATATATAAGAAATTATTCCCAAGACAGATAATATTCTTTCAGAATATCAAGAAGGTAAAGAACAAATGAGAAATAAGAAGAAGGGAAAGGAGAAGAACCAGTCAATAACACAGTCCGTGTATTTAGCTCAGAGTCCACACTGGGTGCTAGGAAGAGGAAGGAGCAGAAATATATCAAACTGCAAGAGCCCCGGCTCCAGGGAGGAATATGCACACCCTCAGGCAGAAGCCCTCGCTCTCTCAGTGCTTCTACCTCTGGAAAACAGGAAAACAGGGGTGGTCTTCACGCTGCATCACAGCACCGTGCTCCAGTCAGGATCAGAGAGACCAGCATCTACACCATATGACAAGACACACGCAGCTCACACATAACTCTCTGTGACTATCACAACTGTTGATCTCGGAGGACTACCCACGGCTCTGGCCAAGCTCTGAGGCCTGTGGCTTCAGAGCCCACAAATGCACCCAGCAACCAAAGCCAGCGGTGTCCTGCCCAATGTTACCCTGGCACCCTTTGATATGAAAGGATCACGTCAGAAATAGTCCTTTACACAGAAATTCCATGCCCTAGTTCTTGACAGCTGTAATTACAGCCCAAACAGCTTTTGAAAGGGAAAGAAAAAAGACACAGAGAGAGAGGGGAAAAAAAACTAACAGCCTGGACTTCGCAGTGAATTGCAGGGTTTGGTTAAGACATGCAATCAGAGCACTTGCTGTTAATGGTGGTCAGTATAAACAAAAGACTGGACAGCGGACAGCCAGACCAAACAGCTTTCTGGCCAATTAATCTCTCCCTCTAACTTAATGAGCTGCTCATTAAGTGCTGGAAGCAGCTCTAGGGAAGGGGCCTACAAGAAGAGGCACGTGGGCTGCAAGAACTGGCAGGTGATAAACAAAGAGGAGACAGAGGCCACGGTCCAGTCCCAAATGTCTCCAGATCCCATGTCCTGTCTTCTCTTGCTTCCAGGTGATGTTTTCCTGTGCTTCTGTTTATTCTGAAAAGTTGTGTTTCTAGCTGGGCACAGTAGTACATGCCTGTAATCCCAGCTGATGAGGACTCTGAATCAGGAGGATCACAAGTTCAAGGACTGCCTGGGCAATTTAGCCAGACCCAGTCTCAAAATAAAAACAAAAAGGGCCAGGGTGTGGCTCAATAGTAAAGACCCTCTGGGTTTAACGCCCAGTACTGCAAAAATAAATAGATAGATAGATAATTAAAAAGGTGGGGGTAGGGGAGTGGCTCAGTGGTAGAGAACCTCTGGGTTCAATCCCCACCAACACCACCAAACAAACAAACAAAAAAGTCAAAGTTGTGTTTCTGCCACTGACTCCCTTTTTGGAGAGTTTCCATGTCCTAATTCTTGGTTCTCCAGCTGGTATCATGACTCATTCAGTATCACAAAGAGCCTCAAGCAGGAGTTCAAAGGGGACATTGAGTCTTAGGTGTGAATCCCATCTATACCTGTTCGCAGCAGCATGAATTATTTAACGTTCCCAAGGTTTCGTTTCTTCATCTGTAAAATGAAAAATAAGCTGGGTACAGTGGTGCACACCTGCAATCCCAGCAATTCAGGAGGCTGAGGCAGGAGGATCACAAGTTTGAGGTCAGCCTTAACAACTGAGCAAAGGCCTTAAGCAATTTAGTGAGACCTTGTCTCAACATAAAAAGTAAAAAGCACTGGGGTGTAGCTCAGTGGTAAAGTGCCCCAAGGTTAAAGCTCCAATACCAAAAATATTTAAAAAGTAATAATAATAGCCTCACCCTATGTAGTCAAATAGTAAATAATAAAACATTGTTTTAATATCAAAACACCTAGCAAAGCACTTGATAATAAGTAGCTATTACTACTAGTAGCTACTATTTGTAGACATATTACTTTCATGAAGAGAGTGATATTAGCAACATATTCCATCCTCAAACACAAATAAAAGAAGGACTTTATTTGATTGACATGCCAGCTACAGGTCAAGCCCTTCTGATCATAACAGCAACAATCCTAACAGTGGAAACACTCCCAAATATTCCCTAGACAAGGCTTTTGAGATTTAAAATTTTTTCAATTTTATTATTATTATTATTTTAAATTTTATTTTATACTGGGGATTAAACTCTGGGGCACTCTACCACTGAGCCACATCCTCAATCCTTTTTATTTTCATTTTGAGACAGGGTCTCACTAAGTTGTTCAGACTGGCCTCAGCCCTGTAATCCTCCTGCCTCAGCCTCCAGAGTCTCTTGGAAGACAGGTGTGTGCCACTGAGCCTGGCAAGCCTCTAGGATTTCTATCTCAGAAGGCAAAGGAACAGAAGAAGTGGTCTGGAAATACTGAGCAGCAAGCCTGCAACCTAAAGGATGGAAATTAGCATGTTCCCATGAGGCCAAGTGAAGAAATGCATTCAGGCCCTGTGTCTGCCCCTTCCTGGATCTCTGTGACACCCCACTATACCTTTCTGAGCTTAGTTAACCTAGAAAATCAGGGTGACATGATCCCCCCCACTTCACAGCTTGCTGTGAGCATTAAAGGAAATTCCTCATGTGGAAGTGCTTTGAAGCTACTTGCTCATAAGTCCATGAAAAACAGGATTGTTATAGGTAATACTAGTCTCAATGAATTTAACTTCATAATTTTAAAAAATGGGAGGATTTAGTCACTAAAAAATTATTTTGTTAGACTCACGAACTGCTCAGAAAAATAGCGGTGAATGGCTTATTTTACTCCCAACATTGCTGTGATTGAGTTGAAGTTTCTGCTGATCAGATGAAGAACTGACTGAAAACAAAACTAAGGTAGCAAAACAAAGGTCCAACCCCCTTTATGTTTTCCATTTAGTTGAGGAGATTTTTCCAAAGGACAACAAGCAATGAGTTCAAACCAGGCTCTATCCAGAGATGACTCAATCAGTCACCTCTGAAACCAATTTTCTTTAAAAAAAAAAAAAAAAAATCTTAATCCATTTGATTAATCCCAAACCTAACTTTAAACTGCACAGGTCTAAGGTAATTTCTCCTGTTTCAGTGCAGAGCACATGGATAACTTTCCTTCATGGTGGACAGAAGACAATTTGCTTCTCATTCAATCTCTGCTCTGTATACCAGAGGCAGAAAGCTATAAGTTGGAATTTACACCAAATTCTTCAAATAGAGTACACAAAATGGCAGGAGAGAATACACACAGAGCAAGCACCAAGGAAATTTGATTGAAATCTCAGTTATTCTTAAAAAGTCAAGCAAATCTCATATTCTACGCCACATAAACTACCTTTTTTCAAAAAACATTTTGAGTCGATTACCAGCCAATTACTTTCCCTAAAATCTTTCAATATGAGCAACACTTGACCATTCTCCTTCACTGACCAACCACCACTGTGTATCACAGCGTGCAGGCCACACCAGGGAAGATGGTACCTCTCAGCCAGCACATCCATCCATTTTAACCTTAGCCTTTTATCAGGACCTAATTCAGAATCACTTCCTGGATGATATAGGGAAAGGGGTCTGGGGCCTGCAAGTGTGTAGTCATCCAATCTGGCACCTCCAGCACCATCTGAAATGAACAGAAGCTAAGGTGCTTGAATTCTAGCTCCACACATCACCACCACCAACCACTCACCCGTATTCGTCTCATGGCAGCCACGATCTCCACCCTGCTGTTGGGTCTCGGCACATCTAGGCTTCCTACGTACTGTCGGGAAGAAGCAAACACACAGTGAGAAGAGGAAGAGCAAGTGTCCCTAACAACAGAATGTTAGTGATGGACAGCCCTTTGGAAGTCACCCAGCTCATCTCTCTGGTTTACAGATGAGAAAATTAAAAGCCAAAGGGGTGTTTTGTTGGGGGGAACTTTTTTTTCCCAATACTGGGGATTGAACCCAGGGGTGCTCTACCTCTGAGTTACATCCTCAGCCATTTTTAATTTTTACTTTTGAGACCAGGTTTCGCTAAATTGCCCAGACTGGCCTCAAACTTACAATCCTCCTGCCTCAGCCTCCTGAGTCACTAGGATTACAGGTGTACCACCACACCCAACTCATTTTCAGGTTCTTTCTAACTTTATAAAAAGCAACCTAATCAGATATTTCTATTTCCTTTTTTATCAGAGATGCAGCAGAGCACTGTGTTTAGCCAAGCAGGCTTCCAAATCAGAAAGGCTCCAGTGTGAAGATTCTCACCACTATTCTTATGGCAAGGCATTTCACCTCTTTTGTCTCAATTTTTTCACCTAAAAGTTCAATTGCTTTAAAAATCTCTTATACAAAAATGCTTGACAAATATTAATGAGGGAGAGGGACATGGGTTGTGGTTATAGCTCTGTGGTAGAGCATGTGCTTTGCACTTATAAAGGCCCTGGGTTCAATCCCCAGCACTGCACTCCCCCCTACCCCCGGCCAAAGAAAATAAGACAGAAGCTACTTAATGGAACTTTATGAGCGAGCCCCAGAGCCCTAGATATATTAGGGACCTAATAACATTTGAATAAGTTCCTGACCATAGGAAAAGAATGTTTGCATTTTTAGTGGCACTAGGGATTGAACACAGGGACATGCTAGCAAGCACTCAACCACTGAGCTATATTTCCAGCCCTTTTTTATTTCATTTTTAATTTTTGTTTATCATTTACTTATTTTTGCAATACTGGGAATGGAACCCAGGGACATTCAACCATTGAACCACATCCCTGTCCCTACCACATTTTTTTCTTTTTTGATATAGAATCTTATTGCTAAATTGCTGAGCCTTGAACTTATGGTCCTCCTGCTTCAGCCTCCTGAGTTGCTGGGATTATACACATGTGCCACTACATTTGGTCCTACTTATTTATTTAAAGACAGGGTTGTCCAGGATGGCTTAGAACTTCCAATCCTCCTGGCTCAGCCTCCCAAGTAGTTTGAATTTCAGCCATGCATCACCACACCTGATTTTAATAGTTTTTATTAAAATATTTAACCTGATTATACTTTTATTTTTAAAACCAAATTACAGGGCTGGGATATAGCTCAGTGGCAAAGCATCTGCCTTGCATTTGCAAAGCCCTTAGACCCCCAGTTCCAAAAAAAAAAAAAAAGAACCCCCACCAAAACCAAATTACATATTTCTTGCCATAAACAATTCAAATAAGTAACAGAAATATGCAGAGCAAATCATTAAAGTTCCCCCTCCCAATAGTTATTGATGTACTTCTCTCTTTGTATATGAAGAACATAGATTCATAGAAACAAGGGAGATTTATTCTATGTAAAAGGTTCACATTATACTGTTCTCCAACATGTTTTTTGTTTCTGTTTTTACTTTTAGTATAACCTGAGCATCTGTCTACACCACTGCATACAGGTCAATCTCATGCATGTAATAGTTTCCCTACTGATGATCCCTTAAGGCAATGCTACTATGCTTCCATGATGTCACCTTTTCTATACCTCTTTGAGCTCATCCAAGTAGCTCTTTAGGCTGAATTCCTAGAAGTGAGATTGCTGGATCAAAAGTATAGATAATCTCTAGATATCATTCCTTATAAGGATGAAACAAAAAAGAGGACATTCCAACACATAGACACATATGAAGCATATAGATTCATTGAGATTTGCTTTTCTTGTTTATATACAAATCACATAAAAATAGTAT